TGTTGTTGTTATGTGCCGTCAAGTCAGACCCGACTCATAGCGACCCCTCCTTGGGTTTCCGAGGCAGTATAACTACGGAAGTACATTGCCCCATCTTCCTTCCGAGGAGTGGCTGGTGGGTTTGAACCTCCAGTCTTCTGGTTAGCAGTCAAGTGCCTTAGGCACTATGCTACCAGAGCTCCCTTCCTTGTTTTTGAAAATCTTGACAATTTCAATGTCAAGGTGAGGTTGAGGGTGGTACTGAGCATTAGGTGATTAGATAATAAGTACCTATCAGGTATGTTGTAGAACGTCCCCAGTTTAGGTCTGACGAATGTTTTTTTTTTTCTCATAACGAGGCTGGGTTGTGGGTGTTGGGGAGGAACCCATGAAGCGCTACCTCAGCCACATGATCAAAGTTGTCAACAGATAAGTCATGTTGATAGCACGTTGTCTTGATACGATGTGGTGAGAATGACACTTCACCTTTGTGATTTCTACTTTTAAAGCAGAAAATTCTATACAAATGTATTTTCTTCTATGAATTCATAAATTTGAGATAAATATTGGTAAACCAAAGGTATTTAGATATATAGTGAGATCAGTTTATTTTTCCCATTAATGTGAAATAAAGATGTCCCATTTCATATTTGGGGTATTTGAGATTTTAAAGATCAAATTATTAATTTTTGATGGCATTTCTAACCTAAAATGCATTTTCAGTACATGAATTAGTGAAACAGAGAGTGGATTTGTGGATTAGTGAAACAGTATTTTATATTGTTTTAATTTATCTTCTAAATACAAGAAGAACCAAAATATTTTTGCTCAGGACATAATAAATGTCCTTTACCTGTTACCTTGTTATGAATTTGAAGGGATTTCTGTGCATAGAACTAAGTATTAATATGGACTGTGAGCATAGCCTACAGTTAGTAATTGCAGAACACCCAATATACCCCTTGATACCCAAAAGAAAACAAATTAGTGGGCAAATTGCTGCTATTTATAAAAATAGTATGTTTATTATAAAATGTTTCATTACTCATTAACTCTATTCTTACTACTAAACTATAACACAAAAAATATTTTAGGTAAAATATGTTCAGATTCTCATGGAAGCCTTATTTGTAGGAAATGATTATCAGCAGCTCCATTTAGGTAATAATGAGTGGTTGGCAGCAGGGGGAAGGAACTAAGCTTCTCCTGAACATGTGTGGACAGAATAATCCAATAGATCAGGAAAGAGACCACCACCTGAGAGAAGAGACTGAGTAACTGCAGGTTAGTTCTTGCTAACATGATAATCTAAATCTTTTTTAGCTGTGAGTAAGGAGAGTAACAGTGACATTCTTTAAGTAGGAAAACGCTTTTTTTAAAAAAAAAAAAATCAGGCTAAAAGACAGTGAGTAGTGAATCTACATCACCAAACACAACCTTATTTAATACTTAGAATTGCATGTGTCTGAGTAGAACTGTGATCCACAGGGTCTGAGTGGCGGGTTTTTCAGAAGCTGGTCACCACGTCTCTCTTCCAGGCTGCCTCTTGCTGCTGTTGTTGTTATGTGCCGTCGAGTCGGCCCCAACTCATAGCGACCCCTCCTTGGGTTTCCGAGGCAGTATTAACTACAGAAGTAGATTGCCCCATCTTCCTCCCAAGGAGTGGCTGGTGGGTTTGAACTGCCAGCCTCTGGTTAGCTCTCTAGTGCCTTAGGCACTATGCTACCAGGCTGCCTCTTAGTGGACTCAAACTGCCAACTGTTTGCTTAGCAGCCAAGTGCTTAACCATTTGCTCCACCCAGGGGCCCTGACCAATTAGTCACTGGGTGCTAATTAAAGGTCTCATAGGTTAAAAAAACACAAGTGAGTGATTACTAATTTTAACCATATACCTCACTCCAAAGCAGAACTTGCCACATTAGAAAGTATCCATTGTGATCTTATACTTCTTAATATAAGAGTCTAGTCTTACAAGGAGCTCTGGTAGCATAGTGCCTAAGGCACTTGATTGCTAACTAGAAGGCTGGCTGTTCAAACCCACCAGCCACTCCTCAGAAGGAAGGTTGGGCAGTCTGCTTCTGTAGTTATACTGCCTTGGAAATCCAAGGAGGACAGCACATAACAACAGTTTGCAGTCTTGCAAACTGAGGAAGCCAAGGACAGAAAAGGAAATATCTTTAAGCTGCTCACAAAAACTTGCAGTTTTGAAAATTAAAGCCCCTTTCCTCTTATGGCATACTCTAGTCACTTAGGGAAATTTAAAAATCTGTCTTATCTCCCTAACAAACAAAAAAACAAACCCACTGCCATCAAGTCGATTCCAACTCATAGTAACCCTATAGGACAGAGTAGAACTGCTCCATAGGGTTTCCAAGATTATAAATCTTTGCAGAAGCAGACTGCCCGATCTTTCTCCCTCCAAGTAGCTGGTGGATTTGTACTGCTGACCTTTCAGTTAGCAGATGAATGCTTTAAACACTGTACCAACAGAGCTCCCTCTTATGTCCCTAGTATGCATAAAAGATTATGTGATAAATAGGCAATTAGACTTGATGTCATTTAGAAAGAACTGGTAAGTATCTACTTTGATTGAGAGCTACTTGACTACTGGAAAAATTGTTTTGCAACAAGGTAGATTTTGTTGTCATTCCCATCCCATTTAATATTCTTTATTAAATTTTAGAAAGGAATTAATTTATTGATTTTGAATTGTATTTGTTTAGTATAGAATTCACTACGTTAGGGAGAGTGAGAGAGAAAAAGGGACAGAGAGACAGAAAAAGAGAAAAAGAGAGAGAGAGAGAGAGACTGTGCTCCCTAGAAGGGAAACCACTTTAAGACTTGATGGGCTTGCCTTATACGTCTGCTTTTTATTTTTAAACACCACCACCTCTTTGCTGACCAACATTTTGTTGCAAATTATGGCAAGGAGGGAGGAGCATGGGCAAAGGAGCTGGGTGAAAGTTGGTGAGACTCCCTGCCAAAATTCCAAGTTGGAACTGAATCCTTCAGTAAAATTTCCTAGGCATGGGGGTGGGGGGAGATTTACAACTTCAGCAGAACTGTAATTCTACCAAGAAAAATATCAGTCAATCTCCTGTCACTAAGGGATCTGAAGATGGCTTTGTCGTATTTCTTTCTCCTTTATAGATGGAGGTGAAAAGTGGAAAAAAAAAAAGGCAAGGGGAGTTTAAAAACATCGATGAAGCCCTGACCCTTTAGATTCCATTTATAGTCTGAGCCCGAATGCCATCCCCCTTGACTAGGGAACTGTCCAATCCAGCTGCTTGTGTCAAAATACTATTAGGCATAAGTGAAATATATATGCATGCCCTTATACCATTTAACACTCTAGGTCCACCTTCAAGACACTGGGCTGTGGATCAACAGACCCACCACTCCTCTTCCAAGAATCATTTTGACAGGTTCTTTTGGAGGAGCTCCTTCTCTTTTTTTAACCCATCCTTTTAAACAAAATGGCACCAAAGAAGGACGTGAAGAAACCTGCCGCTGCGGCTGCCCCTGCTCCAGCCCCAGCCCCGGCTCCGGCCCCAGCACCTCCCCCAGCCAAAAAAGAAGAAAAAATTGACCTCTCTGCCATTAAGGTAACTAAGTGGGTGAATTGTTTGGTCACTGAAACACCTCTCAACATTTAGGAACTTGCAAGGGGATATATCTTTCATTGAGAGAAAAGTATTACTAGGTGAACCGCTAAAATTTGGGAGAATAAAGTGCTGCTTGAAAAAAGATTACTCCTTACATATAATTTCAGTGAAAATTATTGAGAGTATGATACTAGATGTGGGAACCATGATTAGTCATTTTTGTTTTCCATTTTCCATTTTTCTCTGAATTGTCAAAGTACAATGTAGGGGAAAATTGTTTAAAAGTATAAAGTATATGGGTGTAAAAATGTTCCCTTTTTAAATACTTAAATCAGTGTACGTGTTTTGGTTGTTTAAAATAATAATAATAATAATATGGAAATTGAATCATTTACCCTAAAGCTGTAACAAAAGGAAAGATTTAGCCCCTACTTGTTTCCAGAAGTTTGAAGACAGATGATGGTCCAATTGTCATGAATGTATTTATTTGACAGCTGCTTTACGTCATCTGCAAAAGAGATTTTTTCAATTAAAGTCAATTCCTTCTTCAGCTTTGCCTAATAAAATTTTATACAACACTACATGAGTTCTCAGTGCAGAAAATTATGCACTCAAGTGTTTCAGTGACTATAACTGTCATCTTGTTTGTTTATTCACAGTATTTAATTCAGAATTTGTGAATTGCTTTTAAATGAAACTAACCAAAAACTACTATAAGACTTTTTGGTTATATGGCTTTTAGCTTGTGGCTTTGAGTCTCGCCTACTCGTTTTGAACTAAGGAGAGTGTGATTGATTTTTTGTCATCACTGTACTGTGATCAAAATTCTTACCTGCCAAAGCTTATCTGCTTTTGGATACAATGACAGAGTGAATGTGCCTGCTACCTCTCAATGATCCGGCCCATCAAATGTGCACCATTTCCTCATTCACTGGGCTCTAATTGGTCCAAATGCCAGTATAAAAATCTTTGTCTAAGGAACCTTTCCTTATATTGGAGAACTGAAGAGTGGAGGTGATCTTTTCGTTTAAGCCAAAAGTTCTGTATATAATAAATCTGAATTTTGTTAACACTATTTACTTGCAACTATGATGCTGACCTATAAATAATCATTTCATTTACTTTATTAGTATGATCATGAATTGTTTTAAGATCCCTGAAATAATATTGCATTAGATCATCCTTAGATATATATGATGAAATTAAATATATTTATATTTTTTCATAGCATCCCATTTAAACATGAAATTTTATGTTCCAAAGTAGGAGAAGCAGATTATCACAAACACTCTTGAGTTTGCAGGTACCTGAAGCCACAGTTGAAAAAGTGAAAAGAATAGATTCTATTCGTTAGGAAGAATTCTTAATGAATATCCATTTAGGAAGTGCAATGCATGTAGGATCACCTAATAAATGCTTTTTGACTTTGAGGATTGCATGCATACAGTTCATTAAGGGGAAACTGAATTTTTCATCTCCAGCAATCCCAGTTAATGTATCTTTATAGATGCAGATTGATCTGTGTATTACTGCATTACAAAATGAGCGTGTTTACAGCCACTACAGTAATTCTAATCGTTCCTATTCTTTAACTCCGCACTCTATAGTAACATTAGAGCTATGAATCAGTGTCAACACTATTTCTCTTTATATTTATTGTGATTTATAACACAATGTCATCTCTTTGCATCTGAGATTACAAACACCTGGGAAAGAAAAATTTACCTTCTTAAGAAGAAAAAGAAGCATCCCCTTAATGAAAACAGGCATTGATTTTCTTCCTCCAGGAACTGTGTAATAATAAATAAATATATAAAATTTTAGTCTAGCAGGTATCTCCAAGGAAGGACAAAACATCATTTTTTTTTTTTAATCCAGAAAGTAAACCAATTGCAACTTGTTCAAAGTCAGCAAAGAAGTGATATTTACCTGAATATTGAAATTGGCTTATCATTCCATCTACGTGTTGAATTTAATGATAGTATGGGCTAGCGCAGCTAAGCAACAGAAGGTAATATTTCCAGAGAGTTGCTGTGAAGATGTGGTATGTTCCATTCTCATCATTTCATTGCAAAACGAGTGAGATGATGGCCCCTGATAAGGGACACAAATCAAAAAGAACTTAAATGGATGTTGAAGAAACAGGAAGAAATCAACTTCTATCTTTCATTCAGAGGGCCTATTCCTACTAGAAAGAGAAGAAAAGAAAATCACAGAATTGAAACTAAGATATTATTATAAAAGCATTTAAATGCCTCCAATGATTTGCTTTATCCATATGAAATGAGTGCATATTTGTAGGTATTATAGCAGAGCCAAAGAATGTGATGCAACCTGAGAATTTTATAAAATTTAACTCCATCCTAGTAGATAATAGGACTAATTAAAATGTATATTGAAAATTCATATTATAATGCTTTTAATCAGTAATGTTTCTAAACGCATTACCTGATATAAGCTATGCATTTTTTCAAGCAGAGAAAAATGAATTTTAAAGAAATTAATAAAATTGTTATAAGTGTTCATTTAAATTTCTGCGAACTTCATACAGAATAAACTGGATTATAAAATTTCTTTCATAAATTATATCAGATTAGAAATCTAAGCATCTTTATACTTTAAGTAATACTGAAGCTTAAGTATAACTCTCCTTCTGTAGTTGTATGCTTATAGTAATGTTGCTGTTGTTGTTGTTATTTGCCGTCGAGTGACTCATAGCGACCCCTCCTCGGGTTTCCGAGGCATATCACTACGGATAGTAGATTGCACAACCTTCCTTCCCAGGAGTGCCTGGTGGGTTTGAACCGCCAGCCTCCTGGTTAGCAGTCAAGTTATGTTACCAGAGCTCCCATGGTTATAGCAATGTTGTTGTTGTTGTTGTGTGCCGTCCTGTCGGCACCCGACTCCTAGCGATCCCTCCTTGGGTTTCTGAGGCAGTATCACTAGGAAAGTAGATTGCTCCATCTTCCTTCCGAGGAGTGGCTGGTGCCTTAGGCAATATAATATTTAATTAGAACGCTTCTTCAGTTCTAATGTCTTATCCACATGGATGTTTCCTACGTATCCTTTTCAAAAACGAGCACTGCTGATAGACCAACACAAGAAGTTGCTGTCCTGGGTGGTTCTAAGCACTCTTTACCTTCAGAGGGCTGATACTTCCACCAGCAATGCTCACAATGAAAAAAAAAAAAAACAGTCTGACAGAATCTGAAGTATAGGAATTAAAAGCCACTGTAAGTACAGTTGTAGGTTTGAACAAAAGAAATAATACTTGTTGCCCGAAACTATGACCAAGTAAAGTCATTAAAGTAAATACGTAATCAGATAACCATGTGTCTAGATTTAAAAAGGATCCTCGATGTGTAAGTGAACGTTCTGCATGATGCATGCCTTAGCTGGTAGTCAGGTTTGCTGGGAGGTGATGGGATTTTGGATCATGTCTCTCATTGTGTTCCTTAAATCTTAGTTCTTGTTGTATTCATTACTCAGTCGGGTCATCCCTAACACTGCAGGTGATATTACAAAAAGGGATAAAGGTAAAGAATGCATTGACAGAAACTTGACCAAATTACAGATCTCACAATAGCAACTGATTACAAAAGATGGATTTAAACTTTCAATTTATTGTACAGAGTGGCAATCTAGAGTTCCTAAGGACACTTATTCAGTGATTGATATTCAGTGGAAACAAATAGTTGTGTATGTATCGTGACACCTGACTTGTTTTGGTTCAGGATTTTTTATGTTAACCTATAAATTATAATTTTTCCTATCTAATGAGGCTAATATAAACCCAGTTCCACTTAGAAAAATTGTCAGGAAAGTCAAATGAGGTAACACCCATGAAAGACTCTGAAAAGTATGGTAAGTGATGGAGCTAGGATTTAACAACCACAGAGACCAAATCCCTAGTTGACTGTGTTTATCAGTATCCTAAACTACCTCCTATTTATTAAGTCGCTGTTTTTAAAAATGTGCAAAACCAAACCAAAACTATTACCATCCAGTCGATTCCGACTCAAAGTGACTACCACTGGGTTTCCAAGGCCAAAACCTTTCCACGGCTGTAAATCTCTACGGAAGTAGATTGCCTCATCTTCCTCACACTGAGCAGCTGGTGTTTGAATTACTGACCTTCCGTTAGCAGCCAAATGCCTTACTCACTACGCCACCAGAGCTCCTTTAAGAATGTGCAAAGGTGCTCTTTTTTGCTTTTAAGGGCGCGAGGTAGGTTGGTTCTTATATTGACCTGCACATCCTCATGCAGCCAGTAGAGGGAGTGACAAGCACACATCGGAGCAAGTTCACAAACCTTTTGAAGTAGTGGTTGAGTATTCTGTTCTCCACAGCTTACAGATTCTAGTACCAATGGCTGACAGACTGAAGGTTCTACTTACAGATGAAGGAGTGGAATATAAGGACTGAGAGAGACTCCTAGCCACTTTGCTCCAGCCTCTTGTATTTAAAGTTGTAAACAGAAAGTGATAAAAAAAAAAATGTTGTTCACAGGCAAATGTATAGAAATCAAAGTTTATTAGTAGCTATCAGACATAGTAGCCCTGGTGGCGCAGTGGCTAAAGCACTTGGCTGCTAACCTAAAGGTCGGTGGTTCAAACCCATCAGACACTCTGCAGGAGAAACGTGGCAGTTAGCTTCCAAAAAGGAAACTCAACTTGATTCCAACTCATAGTGACCCTAAAGGATAGAGTGGAACTGCTTTCATAGCATTTCCAAGGCTACAAATCTTATGGAAACAGACTGCCTCATTTTTCTCCCACAGAGTAACTGCTGGGTTTGAATTGTGGACCTTTTGGTTAGCAACAGAATGCCTTTACCACTCTCCCATCAGAGCTCCTTCCATAAAGGCTACAGCCTTGGAAACCATGTAGGACAGATCTACTCTACACATGGGGTCTCTATGAGTCAGAATCCATTTGATAGCAACTGCAATGGGTAAGGGGACCAGAGATAGGAGGAAGAGAGAAAGGTGAGTTGCTGCT